GATCCCTGTGGCAGTCAGAGCTAAGTTATCCATGAAACCCAGTAGACCCAGCATATAGGGTCCATAATACTGTTAGGAGACCACAAGAATGGTTCAGCATTATTTTCTTTTAAACTTAGAAAGAAAATTAATATAATAGCAATGAATATATGCTAATCATTCTAGCTGGATTGTATTTGTCTTTATATCAACAGGGTCATAAACTATAATGTTTTAATATTTCTTTGTGGAGTAATGGGCCCATGAAGGCAAAAGTGCTGAAGGCCAAGACAAGTCATAATGCCACCCTAATGGCAATACAGTCATTATATTCACTTACAACAGAATTTTGAGAGCATACAGATTACAGACTCCCATTCCTCTGTTGCCCAGTGTGTCTAATAGGAGAGCCTAATGAATGGCTGTCAGAGTTGTATGTGGCGCTGTCTGTCAGCAGCTGCAAGGTTTCTAGTCATAGCGTGAGAGTGGATCCTGGCCCTGCTCAAACCAGCTTTATCCTTAGCAGTTAGGGAAACAAGAGGAAAGTGAATCCATATTTACATGCTACAACTTGATATTTCTCCTTAGCTTTGGCCTTCCTTCCAGCAAAACTAGAAAATGTGAGTCTCTAGGAAAGATGCTTTACTCTCCTCCTGACAGACTACAAATATACCTCAGAGATAGATTAGGCTCAGTTTCAGACCACTACAATAAAATGACTATTGCTATAAAGAGAGTCACACAATCTTTTGGTTTCAGCTGCATATAAAAGTTATGCCTACACTACACTGTGGAGTCCTGATGTTGTGCTGTAGGATAAGCACTGGACTACTTACCACAAAGTTGGCAGTTCAAACCCATGAGCCACTCCTTGGAAATCCTTTATAGGGTTGCTATGAGTTGGCACCAACTCCATGGCACTTAGTAACAACAATACACTATATTGTAATATATAGTCCATTAAGTGTGCAATAGCATTATGAAAAAGTTTGAACTATTTTATGAATTATTAAAATATGACACAGAGACAGAATGAGCACTTGCTATTAGAAAAATGGCACAGATAGACTTGCTCAATACAGAGTTGCCACATACCTTCAATTTTTTAAAAAATGCTATATTTACAATGTGCAGTAAAGTGAAGCACACTATAAAAGAGTATGCCTACACTGCCTACTGCTCTTTTTATTTCAACAGTCAAAAAGAGTTCCAGCCAAAGGACAAAACAAGTATAAAGAATGCAGGTTACAAGGATACATGTTCCTATGCCTCTAAAGCCCTCTGCCCTAAAATTTATGCTAAGACACAGGAAAAGTCCTGGTGGGAATGGTTAAAATATTGTTAAAATAGATTCCTATGGATAGGGCCCTTAATAGAGCCATTGCTAACAATAATAGCATTATGTGTGTTTGGGCCCTGCATATTTAACCTACTTGTTAGTTTAAACTTAAATTTAAGTTTCAGGCTCTAGCAATTCCATGTCAAGTTGATGATTTTGCATGGATAGCCACCCATCCCACTCAACACCATTGACCTTCCCAAGGAGCATTTAGGAGAGGTGCCTGTTACCCTTTGAGCAGACAGGACTATGTCCTGCTCAGCAGGAACTAGCCTAAAGATGATCGATGACCTTTCCCCCTTTCTCTCAGGGGGAAGTGTTAGGTTCCAGCAAGGAGGGTGACTGAACAGTCCCATTTTTAAATGAGATAGCAGCTAACCACCTATCTACATGCAGGCCGGCCAGCTGATGGTCAGCTTTTGTTCCCGTTTTGAAATGGGGCAGCAGCTATCCATCTGACTCTACTCCGGCCAGTCATCTGATAACTCACCTCTAGAGCAATGTTCCTTCCTCAGCAAAGGCCACTCAGGGAATGGCCTGAATGCTGCATAAATAACTCTAAACCACTATTGTTAAGGATCTGCTCTTCCTACTAAGAGCTGTGTGACCCTTTTCAAGTGCACTTTTGCTTTGCTATTAAAGTTCTGCCTCGTTATTAAATGTTATAAAAATAATAATGTGGGTTATTGGTGTAATTTCTCACTTTTCAAGGAAGTCTTAAAAACTTAGATGTCATTGAATCCAGTTCCTTCATTTTATTTAATAGAAAACTGAAATTCAAAGGGAAGGTGACTTGCTTAGGGTCACAATCTAAATTGGTACCATAACCAGGAGTACAGCCAACTTACTATCTAAGAGTAAATAATACATTCATCTAGTGCCAACTTTGTATTTGTAATATTTATAAAATTCTATTAATTAATTTCCAAAGATGATTTCTACTTTGTGGCATGTAATCCATATTTTGACAGATCAAGATATCCTACGTAAACTGGAGAAGAAAAAGATTCTTGTGTTCACTCCATCCCGAAGGGTCCAGGGCAGAAGAGTTGTCTGCTATGATGACCGGTTCATAGTCAAACTAGCTTTTGATTCTGATGGCATCATTGTGTCCAACGATAACTACCGAGACCTTCAAGTTGAAAAGCCAGAATGGAAGAAATTTATAGAGGAGAGGTTGCTGATGTATTCTTTTGTTAATGACAAGTATGTTTCTTTCTAGTAGGCTTTGAATAGTTTCTATCCAAGTTACCACTAGGAATAGTTTTCATTTCATTGCAATAGACATTTACTGAGTACATACTATGTGCCATGTGTTATGTCTGTTGCCATGGAGATAAAAGGCTGGATAAGGAACAGAAACTCATCCTTAAAGGCCTCAAAATCTAGTAGAGAAAAGAAAAGCATAGGCAATTGCAATGCATTGTGATAAATGTTATAGTACAGGTATTTTTAAGTGCTTTTGTCTTTACATTAGAGAAGAGATGACAATTGAGATAAAGTTTACAGAGTAAACGGGGTGTTGCAGGTGATGGAAACATCATGAATACAAGTATGAAGGCTTGTGAGGGAACCATCAAGCATGGCAGTATGACTGAAATATATAGTCCATGGAAGAATGATGCACAGAGAAAAATTATTCTTTCTATATGATAGCGTGGGAACAAAGGGAAGAACTGCTGGATTTCAGAAGGTAAAGTTGAGGCAGGAAGGACAATTAGAAGGCTACAACAATAATATAGTGAAGATATGGTGAAGGTCTGAAATCCTTAGTCAGGGCTAGTGGGGTCAAGAGGGAAGACATTCACATCTTCATTTGCTTGCTTTCAGATTTATGCCTCCGGATGATCCTTTAGGACGCCATGGTCCAAGCCTTGAAAATTTTTTAAGAAAAAGGCCCCTTGTTCCTGAATATAAGAAGCAGCCATGCCCTTATGGTGAGTACCTATATGTAGAACTATGGGAAACATAAGGAATAAGGACTCTGAATGCTTTTCAATGTTTTCTTTTCAAATGAGAATTCCTGGCTTGTCCACTTTCTGTGACTTCAAGTCTTTGACTTCATGTATTCTCAGGTATTGAAGGAAAAACCTACTGAAGAAAAGGTAACTAAAATTGAAGAGAAAATTAGTTGTCACTTGTTAAAAATGACCCACATGCTCTAGCTGCCTAAGTCCTGAGTGATGTTGCTAATCATTAATTTCAGTTTCCCTCCAAACTTCATTTAAATTTGATTTGCTCTTAAAATATAGTCTTCTAGACTGTTTTCATGTTCTTATCCAAGTTCCTTTTAATATAAAGTTTGTTAGTAGTGCAACATGGGCTACTTGACCTAAAGCTACTTTGGGTGTTTGCTCTTTTTGGATAGTCATTTGTTTTCATGAAATGTTTTGGTTTTTGCTTTCAGTTACCAGAGTGTTTCAAAATCAGAGTGTTTTCATGTTCATTCTCTCATTTAATCCTCACAATGACCCCATATTATACTATATACATAATTATGAACCTTGTTTACAGAAGAGAAAATGAGGCCCAGAAAGTAATCACTTACCAAGGTCAAGCAGCTAGTTAAGTGATATAGCACTGGATGTGACATTGAGTTCTAACTTGTCTCCAAATCTGTGCTCTTTGCACTGCTCGATGCCACTCTACACCTCCTTAGTATGTAAATTATATTTAGGCAAGATTGTGAATTACAGGAAGATGAGGGCTACTTAATTGCTCAGCTCTTAGCTTTCACACTGCAATTTCCTCTCCTGCCTTCCATTTCCTTCTTAGACCCTCACAGTGGTGATGCCTCTCTGGTGTTGTCTGTTGCTCATCTTTGTGAAGAGTTAATTTTCTACTTTCATCTCACCCTAAATAGAAAAACCCTAATCTGAGTGACCAGATTGTTAAATTTCTAGAACAGAGGGTTGCATCACTATTAGAGAGTCTTATTCCAAGGCATTATTTTTTCAGGCAAAAAATGTACCTACGGCCACAAGTGCAAATACTACCACCCGGAGCGGGCCAACCAACCCCAGCGTTCGGTGGCTGATGAGCTCCGCATCAGTGCCAAACTGTCCACAGTGAAAACCATGAGCGAAGGCACCCTGGCCAAGTGCGGCACAGGGATATCTAGTGCCAAAGGTGAGATAACCTCAGAGGTCAAACATGTGGCCCCAAAGCGCCAATCAGATCCCAGCATTCGGTCTGTGGCTGTGGAGCCTGAGGAATGGCTGTCCATTGCTCGAAAGCCTGAACCAAGCTCTGTCCCCTCACTTGTGACTGCCCTAAGTGTTCCCACAGTCCTGGCCCCCAAAAGCCATGCAATGGGTGCACTGAATACCCGTTCAGCCAGCAGTCCAGTGCCAGGGTCCTCCCATTTCCCCCACCAGAAGGCCTCCTTGGAGCACATGGCCAGTATACAGTACCCCCCTATTCTGGTTACTAACAGCCATGGGACTCCTATTACCTATGCTGAGCAATACCCAAAGTTTGAGTCATTGGAGGACCATGGCTACTACTCAATGTTAGGTGACTTCTCCAAACTGAACATCAACAACATGCATACTCGAGAGCGCTACATGACTGAAGCAGATCGGGGGATATATGCTCGGAATCCCAACCTCTGTTCTGAGAGCCGTATGAGCCATATCAGGAATGACAACTATTCCTCTTATAACAACTTGTACTTGGCTGTAGCTGATGCTTATCCTGAAGGTAGTTTGAAGCTGCATCGCTCAGCATCCCAGAATCGTCTTCAGCCTTTTCCTCATGGTTACCATGAAGCCTTAACACGAGTACAGAGTTATGGCCCAGAAGATTCTAAGCAAGTCCATCACAAACAAACAGTCTCCCACTTAGCTTTGCATGCCCAGCACCCAGCAACTGGAGCACGCTCCAGCTGTTTTGGAGACTACCCAATACCTCCCAATATTCATCCTGGGGCAAGTCCCCAGCCAGGCCGTGCTCTAGCTATGACTCGGATGGACAGCATTTCTGATTCTCGCCTCTACGAGAGCAATCCCATGAGGCAAAGACGACCTCCTCTGTGCCGGGAACAGCATGCCAGTTGGGATCCATTGCCCTGTGCAAATGACTCCTATGACTACCATTCCTCTTCCTTGAATAACAGCCTCATGCAGCCATGCTATGAGCCAGTCATGGTCCGGAGCGTGCCTGAAAAGATGGAGCAGCTTTGGAGAAATCCTTGGGTTGGTATATGCAATGATTCCAGGGAACATATGATCCCAGAGCACCAGTATCAAACCTACAAGAACCTGTGCAATATTTTTCCTTCAAACATTGTACTTGCAGTGATGGAGAAGAATCCCAACACAGCAGATGCCCAGCAACTGGCAGCCTTGATTGTTGCTAAGCTTAGGGCTGCACGTTGATTAAAAACAAACAAACAAACAAAAAAAAAAAACTTATACTAATATGGATATTCTCATAATATATTATATTAGTAATTAATATCTTCATTGCGCTTTGCAAATTAGAGTGTTTCCTCCTGTTTATATCATTTAAGTGTATAACAACCCTGTTTTAGTATCCTGTTTTATAGGAAAGGAAGCTAAGTCTTAGTGAGATTAAGTGGCTTGCCAAGATCACACTGCTAGCAAATGTCTGAGCCAGGACTGACACCCAAATTCTGACTCCAAGTGCCATGTTCTCTTGCACTGCACCATGCAGAATGGAGGCAAAACCCAGGGAGGAGAAGCCTAATTACAAGAAATCCCACAGGATTACATTTCACTGATTTCTTAGTCTATGTCACAAAGTATTAATAATATACCTAATTTAGAGAGCAAAAGCATCAAGATCAGATTATATGTTGAAATAACCTTTTAAGATTTTTCAATATAACTATTTTATTGCATGGATATCTGATCATTCAATATCTTTATTAACCAAGCTATAGGGTCACATTTCAGATTCTAAAGCTATATTTCAAACTTACTGTTAGCAATGCTATTGCATGCACCAATATTCAGTTTGAAATGTGTCTATGTAAAAAAAAAAACCTTTTATATAGTGATAACGAGAAGGTAGTCTCTGCAAAATCCTTAGTCTATAGCTGTATCGATCACAAACCTGACTTGATCATTTTATGTCACATTTCAGAGTTTTAACTAGCTATGAAAGTGAAATTACATGCCAATATTTGAACATTTGTTCCTTAGGCAACAGAGCAAACCAGCTCTATTTCCTTTGTGTTTTTTACTTGGCAACACTTATTTATTAGCTTTTAATCTTCACCTCAGCAAATTAGGGATCAAACTAGCACTCTTTTTTCTGCAGAGGAACTGATGAATAAATTGACGTTCCAAGTATAGTATGCATGTGCTGGACAAACACAGAAGAGTTTGACCTGGACCAAAAGATTAAATAATACTAGCAGGAGAGATGGCCAAACCCATGTGACTTGAAATGATGAACCCCAAAGGCTTCTCTCAAGGAAAGACTAATGGATGCTCACTGGACTTATGACCTATGCAGTATTCAGCATCACAATGAAATGTAATGGAGGACAGTGCACAGTCATGTGATCCACTTTTTCTTGCTGTTCACTTTTTGGACAATAAGGTTGATTATTGGTGGATCATTTCTTTAGAAAACCAAACCAGGGTATTTTCTAGGTAGAAAAAAAGGTAGCTTTCAAAGTGGGATGCTGCATCTTTGCTAATAGCAAGCTCAGTTATGCACTTCAAATACACACAAAGAATACATTTGCCATTAGATCATTCCTAGACGTGTTACTAAAGAAAGCAAGACTTTTTGATTGGAGAACACCACTTGTGCAACTTGTGTCTTGTTCAGGGTGGGAACCTCTGTAGTTAAATGCCTCTGGTGATGATGTTATGTGTTGTGGAGTCAGTTCCGACTCATAGTGACCCTGGACAGGGTTTCCGAGGCTATAAATCTTTATGGGAGCAGAAAGCCTCATCTTTCTCCTGCGGAACATCTGGTAGTTTCCAACTGCTGAACGTGAGATTATCAGCCCGATTCGTAAATAGATGAACCCCCTTTTTGAATCCATGGCAAATTTCAACATTTTGAGCCATGACTAGTTCATTATCCTTGAGCTGAAACTTGCTAACTTCTATGGTTGTTTTTTAATGAAAGTTGAGAAGGTCTGTTCTAAGACTTTTGTTTCTTCATGAGACAGTGCAACACTGCCAATAAATCCTATAAATGTTTCTTACTGTGAAACATTCTGCATTTCAGGCTGTGGTCAGGGTTGTTTCTAGTGGTTTGATAGTGGCTTGCATGCTTTCTTTGTCTCTCTCTCAGTTGATCAAAACTGCATTTCAACCAACATTTCTCATCAGTTAACCAAAGCTTATTCATCTGTCAGCCAATCTTCCTATTCTTTAACATATTGATAAGGCATGAAATTTTTTTGTGGTTTTTTTGTTTGTTTGTTTTCTGTCAGGTAGGTCCATAGAGAGTGACAGCTGCCACTGAAGTGCTTGCTTTGCTATTTCACACAAACACCATTTCATATTTTCAACTTCTTGGACCTTCTAAATCTGACCTATGTGTAAATCGGGGAATTTGACAATCTCAGAAACTCTAATCCAAAATTATCAAAGGCGCTGCAGTGTCCACTAGCTGCACAATTTACAGGAAAACACAAGATTAATCTTGCAAGTGTAATTAATGTTGAACATGTTCATATTCAGTACTCAAAAAATTTGTAAACTCCTCCCAGCCCAGAAATATTTTTAAGGCAGCATATATATTTCTAATTTCCTAAAAATAATTGTCATTCTCCTGTCAAAAAATGCATATGAACCAAAGTGGATAGGAACATTGCCTCAAATAACCAGAAATGTTTCCTGATGCCAATTGTATCTCTTTTTTTTTTTTTCTTAATTGTATAGAAATAGATGTACAAAACTCACCTTAAACTAGGTTTGATACTGAATTTTCACCACAGGAAAGGAGCCCAGGATCATGAATGGGCTCTTCTTTCTAAATAGAAGTAGTATTTATAGACAAAGATGGTTTTTCAAGGTCTCTTTATTGCCATGTGCACAGCTGTTATGTGTAGTTTCAAGCATTATAATGCATAAATTCTCTTTAGTATATTGAACTTAGTATGTCCTTGTAAAAGTAATTTTGTATAAAAAGTGTTGGCATTAATGAATATTAATATATAGATCTGAAAATATCTATAAATTGAGCTGTACATCTATGAATGTGCCAGTCCTGCTTGGATTTCAGTTATTAGAAAAACAATCTATTTTTTTAAATAGATGTCTGCACACTTTTGACTCTTCCATTTTGCCTGTAATTATAAAAATACAAATACAAGGATTAGGGTCCTTTGAATCCCTTGATAATATAAACAAGCTTCCTTTATGGGGCTAAGCATGTGCCCTTCAGGATATTTTCCTCCAAGCACTCAGCAGTGGTTATTACATATAGTATTTGTGTGGTTTTCGAGAGCACAGCAGTGTATTTTGCAAAAGGTGCTTTGCAATTTTAATTCTCTCACTGATTCTCTGACCTCATAGCAAATCTGTGACTGTTCCAGCCTTAGATGTTTATTAAGGTTGTTGTGATTTTTTTTTCCCCTTCTTTTTGTGATCTGTTGTTATTTTGACTTGAAGAAGAAATTTGACACTGGAGTAGCATGGTAAATCCAGGGCACCTTTCCTGTAAGACAATTTAAAGAAGGTGCCTTTTCAAAGGTAACACAGAGCGATTATACTCTCTTAAGGTGAAAGGTATGGAAAGGAGAATGACAGATGCCTTATGGAAATGGTCCACAAAACTTTTCTTCAAAATAATGAAACACATAGCATGAAATACACACACACACATATTATATGGGAGCACAGTTGCGCAGTACGATAAGCACTGGACTGCAAACCACAAGGTCCAAAGTTCAAGCCTGCCAGCCTCTCCATGGGAAAAAGGTGAGACTTTCTGCTCCTGCAAAAATTTAAAGCCTTGGAAACCCTATACAGGGTTGCTATGAGTCAGAATCGGCTCAATGGCACTTAACAACAATATATGTATATAAATATATACACATATGTACACACACACATACACACATATGTATAGTCTTTCTCTTTCTCACTATTAATTTCCAGAAGAATACTTCTAAAATTCATTTTTCTATTTTGGAATAAATTATCTTTATATAGTAATACAAACATTGCTATACATTAACCTTTGGCACTGAGTTTTCCTCTAAGACTTATCTTTAGAGGTGCCCAGTAACCATTTTATCTATGGAACTTTGTACAAATGCCCTTTTTGAGGGCCAAGAATTTCAATACACTTTGTTTTATTCTGTGAAACAAGTTTGGAGCTGCACAGGGATAGTAATGCAGAGCTGTCCAAAGAGCCCTGCTCAAGTTTCCTCCTAATCCTTCTTTGCCTTCCCCTAGCTGTGTCTCCTCAGGTCTGACACTGAGGAATGTATAGTCTTAACAAAAATGGGACTACAGTTAGTACTCATTGGAAATTAAATTAATAGATTTCTATAACCTGCTTGTCTGAAGTAGTCAATGCCTTTGTAAAACTCAGTATATTCAATATTGTTTGTATTTTATTGTGTACATAGGCAGATTGACTACTTTTAAGTCCTGGTTTGTGTATCATTGAGCTATAGTAGTTTGCTGTATCCACTGGTGGGATTAAACAATACTGTTTAATGAGTGTACACTTTTATAAAACCTCTTTGGGTTTCTTGTTTGACCCAAACATAATGTAAGTCTCAATGACAAAAACACAAAACCAACCAGAGGTGAATGAAAATATATCCCGTCCCAGTTTTGACTGCCCTATAGTGCATGTGCAATGCTTTTTCTGTTCTGCCTGACGTCAGCAACATGCTCTCATTAGCATGAATGTGCTGTGACTATTTCATAAGGTTTTGTCTCACCTATAATTGTAATGGAAAATAGTGTAATATTGACAACAATGAATTGTAACCACACTTATTTACTGCATAAAGTATTTGTATACTAACCATTAATGGCTCTGTTTCTTTAAGAACATATAACAAAAGCCATAACTAGCGCGTACATATATACACACATTCGTTTGCTCCTTAAAAATTAAATTTCTCCCTTTGGGACTTTCATCTTAAGAAAAGATATAAGGGTAGATAGTGGTGGTGGTGGTTATGTGCCATGGAGTTGGTTCTGACTCATAGTGATGCTGCACAGGGCTTCCGAGGCTGTAAATATTTACAGGAACAGAAAGCCTCATCTTTCTCCTGCAGAATGGCTGGTAGTTTCAAACTGCTGACCTTTATTAGGTTAACAGCCCAACTCATAATCACTATGCTACCGGAGCTCCTTAGAAGGGTAGAGATCTTCCCAAATGAATTAATTGGCATTTTATCACAGAAAGTATGTTGTTGTTAGGTGCCATCCTTTCTGACTCACATTGATCCTATGTACAACAGAATGAAACATTATTCAGTCCTGCACCATCCTCACAGTAGTTCTTATGTTTGACAACATTGTTGTAGTCACTGTGTCAACCCACTTTGGTTGTCAACTCATTTTTCACTGACCCTCATTTGCCAGGCATAATGTCCTTCTCCATGGACTGGTCCCTCCTGACATGACATCCTTTTTTCTAAAGGGCATTATGGTTATACTTCTTCTAAGACAAGTTTGTTCATTTTTCTGGTAGTCCATCATATATTTAAAATTCTTCAACACAATTTAAAGGCATCACAAAAAGTATATGCCCTCTAAATTTTGTATACTAATAGCACCAAGTGCTAGTCAAACTGGCGTTTCCCATAGAATTGAACTGGGTCTCCACTTGTGGATAAAAACACAGTGGAGGGCTCAGGGCCCAGGCTTATTTCTGTACACAGTCTCTCCCTCAGTCAGATATCAGAGCTAGAAGGGGGCTAATACGCTATACAGAGAAGTCACTCAGGTCATGTTCAACTGCATCAACCCCTTGTTGTTAAGTGCCATCGAGTAGGTTCTTACTCATAGGGTCCCTGTATAGGGTTTCCAAGGAGTGGCTGGTGAGTCTGAACAGCTGACCTTGCAGTTCAAACCAACCTTGTGGTTGAGTGCTTACCACATTAATCCCTTAAACCTCAGGTATTGAAGTTCCAAGGGTTGAAGAGATCTGGCCTAGGCTATGAAAGAAATTAGTGGTAAAGCCGGGACTGGAAGCATGATTCCCAGGCTGCTGGTCCTTTCATCACAGTGATGTTCTGCTCTTTCCTCAGACCTCTCTGCATCTTCCTACCCAATTCAAGCCTACTCCAGGCCAGTCTCATTTTAAAGGCAGAGGTGGCCACAATGGCTGCAGCAGAGTTTAGCCCAAGAACCTTTGAAAAGGAGTTATTAGTGAATCTGATATAGTATCCTCCCTGGGAATAAGTGTTCTTCTCTCCTCCTCCCATTTCCTCTCTTATTCTTGTTGCTTTCGCTCACATTCTTCAGATATACATGTGTCAAATGCTTACTGTGAAAAAAAAAAAAAAAAATCTTATTGTATACTAAAATAAGGGCCTGGCCTATACTAGGCTAGGGAGTTAGGAGGAAACAGTTCCTGTCTTGGAGAATTTGTACTCTAGAAGGGGATTGAAGTACACTCAGAGAATTAATCAAGACTTTTGGAAAGTAGTGATAGTGTGTGGGTAGGAGAGTGGTCTGAACAATTAGAATTCCAAGAAGGAACAATTTATTGCCGAACGCCACTCCTCAGTCACAAGTGAAAAATCAATGAATTGACTATATTGTTGTTGTTAAGTGCCATAAAGTCTATTCCAACTCATAGCAACCCTGTGTAGAGGATTTCTAAGGAGTGGCTGGTGGGCTTGAGCTGCTGATCTTGTGGTTAACAGTCCACTGCTTATCCTACAGTGCCACACCAGGCTCCAGCTGACCTCTCTGACCTCATGACCTATCATGTCTGACCTTTCAGTTAACCCATGTACCAATTATCCTGGACCTTCACCCCAACATGTATGCTTTCTTAATCCCTCCAGACTTCTATCTTCCTTCAACTCATTCAACAGTTCATCCCAGTGTCAACTGTCACCTGTCCAGCTATCCCACTTTCTTGTCCAGACATTAGCTCCTTCTCCCTAGCGGGCTCTGCAGGCATCTTGAACCTTTATTTTAGCATTTGTCACTTTGTGTTATGATTGCATAATAGCCTAACTCCTACCAGAGTTTCATGAGGACAAGGAACCATGCTCTTAATCACTGATAAATTATCACCTGTCAGAAAGGTGATTCTCAATTATTGTTGTTGAATAACTATTATAATTTATGCTCCATTCCTCATTCTGTTCCAGTTTCCAGTTAAATGTGTGCAGTTAAGGCTTTCTTTCATCTCTAATTATGAGGAAAACTGTAAGGCTGCACCCATTAAGTGGTAAAACTTGGGGAAACACCAGGTCTTTGGGAAGATTTTTTTACTCTATCAGTGGATCTCAAATTTTAGTGTGCATTAGAATCACTTGAAACATTTGTTAGAACAGATTAATGTCCATTCTCACTCTTGCATTCAGGTTGGGGCTGAGGTTCAATTCTCAAATGACATTATAAGAAACACTGATCTACACCAACAATAAACTTACTCTGAGGCCTTGGGCAAAACCCTTCCCTCTTTATGTCTGTTGCAGTGTCTTGATGCATAAAACTGAGTAGGCTGGATGAGAACTGACGTCCATTTTTTAGCAGCAGCAAAACCCATTTTTCAAAAGAAATCTTATGTAAGATCCCAGTACATAAACAGTAGATAAAAATCAGAGCTGCTCTGGAGAAATGATGGAGGTGAACTGAGAGCTTGCAGTCTGATCTCCCATCTTGCCATGGAAGGGGCACTGAGGTACTTTCCAGAGCACATATTTGCAAATCCCTTGACTAGGTATGGCCTAGATGCTCTTTGAGGGCTCTTCCAGCTGACATCCCTAAACTTTTAGCATTTGCCATTGTCGGGGGAGAGGGAAGAGATGGTGGGAAACTGACTTTGACCAATAAACAAATTGCTTTGCTTTGCTCATCTCATGCATAATGCTTGGATCCACATAGGCCAGGAAATCAGCTCTGTTGGGCTCATGAATCCCTTTGGTAATCTGATATAATCTATGGACTAGCTCCCTAGAAAAATTATGTGGCACTGCAGGATAATGTGCTGGACAGCAAGGTCAGTGTGAACCGCAAGGTGGGCAGTTCAAACTCACCAGCTGCTCCTTGGAAACCCTATACAGGGTTGCTGAGTCAGAACCGACTTGATGGCACTTAACAACACACATACATACTAAGATATTTAGTAAATACTTTCAGAAGTTTTATGGACTCATTATGAGTCCTATGTCCTCAAGTTAAAACCCTGCACAGTGCTCTAGTAGATTCCTAGGGGAGCAGACAGCTTCATCTTTCTCCCACAGAGAAGCTGGTGGGTTTGAACTGCCGACTTTATAGTTAACAGCCCAAACCTACCCCACAGGACCACCAGGTCTCCTATTTAAAAAAAATATTAAAAAAAATATTGTGAATTGAGTGAAGTTTTACAGACAAGATCACCTATGTTGCATTCAACAAATCATACTTTGTTTCATTTCAATGACTGTAATCCCCTCCATGCAACAACAGTTATCCTACTTCCTCCCTGTGGTTCCTATTTCCATTCCATCCACTTTCACATCCCTTCTTAACTTTGTCCTTAGGAAAATGTTGCCCTTTTGATTCTTAATGACTGACCATTCCATGGTGAGTAGACCTTACTAATGTTGTTCATTTCCTCCTCTCTCCCCATAACCCTATATACTGCTTGGCTGAAAATTGGGCCACAAGGGCGAGATCCTTTCCAGACCTGAAGGGTGGTCGAGGGTCAGTCTTGGGTCCCTCCTGTCTCTTTCTGACCATTAAACCTAGTCTTTTTAAAAAAAAAAAAAAATTGAATTTTGTTCCACATGTTCTTTCACTCTATCCAGGACCTTTAAATTGATCCCTTTCAGAGCAGATGGTAGCAGTAGTGGGCCACCTTCTAGTTCTTCTGATCTTAGAGTCATGGGCACTGATGTTCACATGTTCCATTAGAGTTCACTGGTCTAATTGATTCCAAGCATCTTCAGTTCTCATCACTCTAATTACTTCCACACATGGAGAGACTAATAGTTGTACCTTAGATGGCCCTTCAGGAACTTTTACAATCCCAGACACTACTCACCAAAGTATGCCAACTGATCATGGTGTTCTGAGCTATGGGCCACCATGGCTCCTTTTAATGACAATTCTACTAAATTCTTCTTTGGCACTGTCATAATATAAGCCTTCTCCTTCCTTGGTTCAGGCACTTTTGGGACCAGTTTCTTGGCTGGTGTGCTGCTTGGTTCTGCCCCTTGCTGCCACTTGTCTTGGCCTAAACATGGACAGAGATGCTCACTCTGTCACCCAGTTATCACACTCCCCAGGGTGGGGATAGGGATGTTGTAGCCACAGACTTGACCTGATTCCACCACCACCGCCCTGGAAATATTACTCCAGCAAAACCCCTTGTGGTACACTGAAATTCCCTTAAGGCTCTTATGGTGACCACAGTACCTGTCTTTTCTCACTAGGCTGAGAGCTCTGATGGGTGAGAATATAATTTATTCATCCATCTCTTGGCAGCTCAGGGCTATCACAGGGTAGACAGTCAGAGTATCTGAGGAAACTGGATTATCATAGAGAAGGATCTCTAAGCCAATGCCTAAAACACTTCTGTAGCTCCAATTCTCACCACAGGGAAGTCTACCTTTTCTAGGCCAAAGGGTGGAGAATTAACAAAGGCAAACTTCTCTTTGGATTTCAATTTGTGTTTGGTGCCCAGTGAGGGAAGGCAAAGAGAAAAACCAGAACCTTGCTGGATAGCAGAAAGGTCTGGGTTGTCCCACTGTAAGCCTCTAAGCAGACTCCGTTATTGGCCGGGTTCTGTAGACAGCAATTTCTCTATTTTGGGGCCTGATGCTTCCAAATGAGCTGGCCACATGTTGGAGCTGAGGGGAAGAGAGATGGTTTGGGGAATCAAGCAGAAAGTACAGGTAGAGCCTGGTGGTAGGAGCAATTATGGGCAGTAGACCCCAAAAGCCTCAGGACCCACCTCCCAATCAAAGCCCTACCTTTCCTGGAGCCCTGAAAATAAAGGGCAAATGATATTCATCTGATCCAGCACATCCCCTAACCTCACAAACACCCAAACACCAAAACTAGAGTTGCCTGTTTATTGTGTTTCAAACGAAAACAAAAAACCTCAAAACACATTAAAAATCCCCCTGCAATGGATAAATGAGCCGATATGCGCCGTCTCCCAGTTGTTTCGTGGAGCATCAGGCACATTGGGGGAAGAGCTGTTTCCCTGGCAGGGTTGGATGCACATTTGCACCAGGGCTCACATCAGAAGAGCTGAAGGCCAGTTTTGAGCCTGTGCAGTTGCCCTTGGCTCCAGAGAAGGCCCTTGAAGTTGCTGCTGGCACTGCCAATGCCACAGCTTAGTCCCAGGGAGCTGCAGAGAGAGTGGTGGGGTCAGTCAGGGAAGGAAGCATCTTTAGGTTCTGAAGGCACCGAAGGGTGCTTGATGTCTATGGGAAAGTCCTCCTTTCCTGTCTGGCTTTACTAAAGCAAACTTGAGAAACCACTGCAGGTGGGCAGCCAAGGATCAAGGATGGCTCTGCCCTCCCTTCAGTTGAGGTAGGGAAAGAAGATTACTTAGATCCCCAGTATCAGACTAAAGAAAAACAAAGTTCTATACTACACCACCCATGGAAAAATATTCAAAGTGACTGCCTTAACATGGCCTTCTTTCAAGGCCCTAGAACTTGGTGACCAAGGGTACCCTGCACTGGATCCAGGTGGTGTGGCACTGCAGCATAAGCACTGGACTGATAATCACAAGGTTGGTAGTTCAAATCCACTAGCTGCTCTCAGAAACCCTATACAGGGTCACTGTGAGTCAGAACCAACTCAATAGCACACAACAACACGGCCAGGCTTTGTACTGCAGATAGGTCCAGCTCCCACTCTAGGAATGCAGACTGCTCTAAGGAGCCAACTTCCCTCTGCCCCCAACCCTGCCTACTCATAACACTGTTGCTTCCCACAGGTCCTTCCAGTTGGATGAAGGTGACAGCTAAGAGTAAATCCATCATTCTTCTCCTTAGGTAGATCCATGGTTATACAACTGCAGCTGAAAAAACTCTTAAGAGATGATCTAATCCTATTCTCTCCCATCACCCACAATCATAAAGAGGAAACTGAGGCCCAAAGATGGGAAGGGTCATATAGCCAAGTCAGGGGTGGAACTGGGATAAAAAGCAGGGTGGACATATCCTGCCCCAGAAGAGGAAGCCTCCCTATTACAGGGAGTTTGGGAGCTGGGACAAATGCACTTCTTTCTAGATTTAACAGCTTCAACTGCCCATACTTCATCCTGGATACCCTGGTTGTCACTGAATCCTTGCTATCCAGGATCAGGGTGGTTGGGGATGAGGGAGAAGAAGAAGCCTTTCAGACATATGGGCCCCACTCCCAACTACAGAACACCTGGTTTCCCCAGCTACCTCCTTTCCTCTCCAGAAGGCCTGCGGATAGAGCCCCTGGATTCTATTGCTCTCTCCCAAGACGCCCAGAAGAAAAGGGACTCATCTCCCAGGGAGTGGGCAGGGCAGGCCAGGCAGCATAGGGAGAGACTCTCAATTTCAGGGGCCCACAGGGGTCTCTTTCTGGTACTCACAGGATTCTCCTGGTCACACTGGCCCAGCATTCCGGAAAGTACAGGCCCTCTGGATGGGCTTCTTTGTGCTACCAGCACAGCCCCTCAGCAAGGGCTGCTTGGTTCCTGGTTCCCTGATGACCCAAGTGTTCCCATGCCTGTGATCCAGAGGCGAGTTTCGAGGGAGAGCATGGAGCCTGCCACAGGCCTTGCTATCAAGATGCCTGTATAGTGTGGGGAGGCCTAATGATTACTCTCTGTGCACCTTTGGACAAACCCCTTCTCCTTTCTAGGCCTTAGTTTTCTCCTTAGGAACATGAGCAAGCTGAATTAGAGCATCCACTCTTGACATTTTGGGAACAATAGACTATTTTGCGGGATCTGTTGAACACTATGGGCTCCTTTTTTGTCCCCCAAATGGCACACACAAGCACAACACACACACACACACACACACACCCTACCTAGATGCAATTTGAGAGGGGTACCAGGCTAGTTCTACATGGCTGCTTCACTGGCTTCCCCAACTTGGGGAAGGGAGTCATGGCAAGGGCCCAACCAGGCATTCACGCTTATACTTCACTCATTTATGCCCTCTCTATGGATGGCTACCTCTCCCACTCAACCCTTTTCTCTTATTCCCTCCCATGGAGGGTGAAATGGGGTGAGAAATCCTGCTACCATGGGCACTCACCCAGTCTTACAAATTGAGGGTTCTAGTCGCCGCTCTAGCACAGGCTGATCCAAAAGGTACATGGTATCATAATTCTCCAGCATAAGCTCCGCTGGGTCCTCAGTCTGACTTGGCATTCGACCTAAGGGGAATGTTCCCCATCGTACATCTTCTGTGGAGTAAAGGAAGTGGTCAGAGTAGACTGATACGCTGGTTCTCAGACTGGCACATAGTCCTGGTATGACGCTGTGGGTTAATGCACTGGACTGCAAGGTCAGTTTGAACCACAAGATAGGTGGTTGAAGCTCACCAGCTGCTCACTGGAAACCCTACACTGGGTTGCTGCGTCGATGACTTAACAGCACTTAACAACAAAAACCTACATGGCTTGCTCACCTACCCACCCCAGTTAGCCAGCTCTCTGGATGTCTCTAGCCTCACTCCTCTCTATCATTTTGCATGAGCTCCTCTCTACTGCAACACCCTTCACTCCTTCAATATCCCACCACACACTCTATGATCCTTCTTCTCCTATATATGTGCATATACACAGTCTATGTACACAATTACAGAGAGACATTTTAATTTCTCTCAGCTCTTCTCTTCCCACTTTCACAGACATGCCACCAGACCCAGACAATATCCTCTTTAGACTTAGTTGTTTCAATGTTCCCAATTCTCACCCACGCCCCTATTTGCATATTTGTATGGAGACATACCCTCATACATATGCATATTCACACATAGGGGGAGCAATGTCAAGAGGGACAGGGAAATACAAGGAGGCTTCAAAATGTTTGTGGGAAAATTCCATTATCTTTTTATTACAGTTTTCCATGAATTTGTTGAAGCACTCTTGCATTTTAATACTCTAGCTTTTCTACATTCATAAGCCATCTCATCTCCCTCCACCCCAACACAAATATTCTACTTTAGAATATACTGTGTCAGGCACCAATCACTAATATCATATAAACATCCTTCCCACCCTTACAAAAATTGTTTCCAATATTTTCCAAGTGAAGTCTTCACTGGTGTGCTTCTCTGAGTAAAATCCATTTCTGGTCTCCTGTATTTCCCTGATATCCACTAAACTCTGCCAGTCATAATGTCCCTGGTATTCTGGAGAGTATATCAACCCTGGACCAGCTTTTTTATGTTACCCATAGGCCCCAGCAAGGACTGTTCCTCGGCCTGCACACCCCCACTCATGGCTCTTCTATAAGAAATCATGACTGTCTTCATTCCCTGCACCTCCTTACACATACAGTGATACCATGATATGCAGGGGCCACTCTCCCTCATGGGTTCTGTCATTGACTGTCTCCCCATCACTAACATCCTGACAGCCCTGTCTATATCTCTGCCCCTGGCTCTCTAGTTCAATAAATATCCTTGTACTTGTCTCCTAAGTGACAGCGCAAACACACCACATTATCTCTGGATGGTTGTCCCTCTGCCTGTTTATAAACCCCTCCATATACCATTACCTCTACTGCCATTTCTCTTCTGCATAAACTCCCTCATACACTCACACACCTTCCGATCCTTATGAGTTAGGGTGATTCTGCCACCTCTATCAAAAACATACATGACTAAGAATGTTTGTATGGACACTTTAACACAGCCCACTTAACAATGACTTATCCCATTGTCCTTACTTCTTTCTCATACCCCCAACACATTCTGTCTCATGCCCTTCCACTTCCACATATACAAAGAAACCTCTAAAACCACCACCAACAAACAAGTCCTCCTTGCTCTAAGAGGTAATTTCTCTGATTTTGTGCCACGATTTGTCCAGCATACACAGGCACACACCCAAAGACATGCACACATTCCAGCACCTTCCAGTCAGGGTCTTTTATGCCCCCAGCTCTTACATGTGGTTGTTGTTAAGTGCTGTGGAATCGGTTCCGACTCATAGTGACCCTGTATAGGGTTTCCGAAGCTGTAAATCTTTACAGGAGCAGAAAGGCTCATCTTTCTTCTGCGGAACAGCTGGTAGTTTCGAACTGCTGGCCCTGAGGTTCACAGCCCAATTCGTAACTACTACGCTACCAGAGCTAGCTCCTTAGCTCTTAGATATTCATGTTCTAATAAGTGCAAAACCTTTCCCCATGAGTTCAATCACTGTCTCCTTCTTGCTCCTCCTATCATGCCCCACCCGACACCACCCAGCTCTATTATGGGCTACTTTTCTGTCCCTTCCTTCAAGATAAACTGTGTCCAACATCTATCCCTGCCTGCAATATGACACATGCTCATGCACACATACTAGACTGTTTTGTCACTTCTGTATCTCTCTGGCTTGAGATTCCTACTCCCTAATCTAAATGAAGGCACTCAAAAGACCAGCCACACATCCTTAGGAGGAACAGATTTACAATGCTCTCCTACCTTCCTGTTACCACCTACCACCTCCACCTTCCAGGTATGGTCAAACTTGGCTTGCTCACCAAAAACCCACATCACTTCTTATTCTCACTCTTCATAGCCTACTCTGTTTCTCTGACTTAATATCCCCAGGTTCCTGCTTTGTAATATACACAGAAAAACCTTTCTCACCACCAAGCCTCCACATATACATGTACTCACACATATACAGAAAATATTCCGTCTTGCTGTCCCTGGGAATCTGCACCCAAAAATCATGTGTAGAATCATACACATACACGCCTCCTCAGCCCCAACTCTTTCTCCTGCTTATGTTTTACTGCCCAGTGCCCACACCCACATGATGCTCTCTAAATGTGCTCACTGTCTGTCTCTAACACTCTCCCCAAAACACATTCACAGGCTTTCATTCTTCCATCCCTAGGCCTCCCTAGCTTTTCTTCCATTCACATCCAACACTCTGCAACTTAATTCTCTTAGGTCCAGCCCTCTATTTTTACCACCTCCTGGTGTGGCACTATAAGATAAATGCTGGACTGATAACCTCCAGGTTGGTGGTTCAAACCCACCAGCCACTCCCTGGAAACCATATATAGGGTACAAAACAACAACAATAAACGATATCAGCATTGCCCCCATGACTACAACACAAGATGATGCACTCCTCTGCCAACATGTCCTACATGTGTACTGGCTATTGCATTCTGTGCATCATCTTATGTGGTCTCCTCCACTACAGTCTCTCTCAAAACCCACACAGTCCCTTCCCCCTGCCTGGCCCCATGCCCCTGTCCATGCCAGCCTGCATGTTCACTTAAACACACACAGGATACTCTCATTATTTCACTGCCTCTGCCATCCTGTGGCTCTTATTTCTCAACACTCTTGGGTTCCCCATGCTCACAGACATGTTTAGTACACAACCCTATATCCAATGCAACTCTTGGAGATGAGTTCCCTCTTGATGACTAACTTTCCCCTCTCACAAACTTACCGTATTTCCAGCTCCTGAATACCATATGCATACATCCCCAACCTCTAAGAACACAAAGCACTCTCTGCCTTACCATGTGTACAGATGGCAAGTCCTATAACTGACTAGAATGGCTGTTGCTAACTCACTGCTTCACAACTCTCACACAACTCCACTCCCTCTGCATCTCCCTGCTCTCCTGCCTAGCCACGTCTTACCACCTCTGCCTGCCCAACCTCTTTCACGCACATGTACCTCACCATAAGGCCACAAAACTTTTTGAGCCTCATTATTCTGAGGCTCCTGTTCTTTAACATACATGCACACACCCCAAACACCCACAGTTCTCTTGCAGTAAACACCCACAGTTCTCTTGCAGTAAGGGCTCATCTTATGGGAGTGTTAACACACACACAATGAGTGTATCATTTCCCAGTTTGGCACAGAGAGCTCTGTAGCTTACCATTCCTAACTTCTATTTATACATAATTACCCAACTGCCTTTCCCTACTTCAATAGGTATCAATATGACAGTAACACAATATGACCCTTACACTCTATTGTGTTCCCCGCCCCTCCCTCCAGAAACATATATAATTCCTCTTAAGGTAAGATTGATTCTAGGCTCCTCTCACCCTCTTTTCCAACCTTCTGTCCACCCCCACCCTCACCCTGTATATACATGTACACAAAGTTACATACCTACATACCACTGTGTATACACACACCATACCTCTGTCCCTCTCTCACACACCTGTCATTTGGTGCTAAATGCATTAGCAGACATAACAGCTTATATCTTCCTGACTGCTCACTGTGCCTCATATACATAGAATCTACACTGCTCTGGTAGCGTAGTGGTTACGAATCGGGCTGTGAACCTTAAGGTCAGCGGTTCGAAACTACCAGCTGCTCCGTGGGAGAAAGATGAGGCTTTCTACTCCAGTAAAGATTTACACCCTCGGAAACCCTGTACAGGGTCGCTATGGGTCGGAACCGACTCGACAGCACTTAACAACAACAACAACTCTACTCCACATCCTGCATTATGTCCAGCATAGAATCTTGTCTCTGAAGTCATTGGTTCCAACACCCCTTAGTGTCAAACCCTGCCTCCAGAATATCTAGGGTGCTCTCTGGATACTCTCGGTGAAATCTCATTCAAGCTAGACCTTCTGAGAATAAGACAGCAAGGAAGCTAGGGCTTCCTCCAAACCGCAAAACATGCCTGGGACTTGATAGGACTGCAAGCCAGCAGACAAGCTGCAGGTGCCTCTGGCAGTGGATGTGGCACATTCTAGGCAGATGGGCATGTGAGTCAAAGAGAGAAAAAAGCAAAAACCTGAAGCAGCTAGCAACATAATAGTGCTTAGGCCCCTAGCACTTAACTTGCCTTAGGTTGGTTAACTCCTGCTGTTTCTCACTTCTTCCCTACGGTGGAGGAAAGCCTCAAAACCAGTCAGAGGGAAGAAACTGGTGTAGGGAGGAAAGCAGAGATAGGCTTCTTACCTGAGCTAACTTGCCACACAGATCCCTGCAAAGTTCCTCTTTTCTGAGTAAGGAGCCTGATATTCTCAGCAGTGGGGGACTCCGCCCCTATAAAGAAAGGCTCCACTTCCATTCTATCTTCCTCATCATCGTCATCATCGTCGTCGTCATCATCGTCGTCATCATCATCATCATCATCTTCCTGCTCCTCCTCATGGTCATACTCCTCATCCTCTTCTTCTTCCTGGTCTTCCAAGACCTCTTTCTCATCTTTCTCATCTTTCTTGTCAACATCAAGGCTACCTTGCTCCTGAGCCTTTCCTTCAGACTCCAAGTTGGAGTCAGGTGGGTTGAGGTTCCAATACAGGCTGTCCAGAGTATATGGAGACTTCCCGATGGTGGAAGTCTTTGAGTCGTCCTGCTCCAGGCTCTTTTCTCCATTCTGGGTATAAATAGAGCAGATGCGCAGCAGTTTCTCTTGGTCCTCATCTGGCAGGACTGACCCCATGGCCTTGAAGATTCTGAACAAAGGGAGAGAATGGGGTAGGAGAGATTCAAAAACTAAAGTCAGTTCATACCCACACTCCAGGGTTTGCACTTAGTTTCTGAGCTTCCAGATCTGCCTCTGAAATGCAGTGTGGTAGAACAGATAGAATAGAAACAATACAACCAGGAACTCTGACCAATCTCTGTGCTTCAGTTCCATTCTCAGTGAAACGAGGACAATAGTAATAATAATTTATAGAATTGCTTGGAAGAGCAAATAAGATACCTCACATAGAATGCCTGGCACATAGTGGGCATACAATAAATGATAGCTATTGTAGTCTGTACTGAAATGCTAAGTAAATACATACACTAGTCAGTAGATCTGCAGGATTGGAAATGAAAATGGAAGATCTTTTTCTTCCTGTGGCCTAGCTGAACAATCTATACTGAGCACCAAGGATATACCTGGATGTGTGCTGAGCTCCTTTGGGATGGAATACAAAGTGTGATCCCTTTCTGGAAGCAGCCACAGCCCAGATTGGAATGAAGGAAAAGAAAAATAAAACAACAGTAGGTGTACAAGACAGGAGGTGGGAGGGAGGCCAGATGAACATAGCAGACTACAGGAGTTGGAGGAGACAAGGAGGGTAAGGAGAGCAGGAGAAATCAAGGGATGACTTCATGTGTTTGTACGTGTTGGGGGAGGGCATCAAGAGGACCAGAGACAAGAGCGAACAGAGCGCTGGGTGAGGTGAAGTAGCCTAGATGTACTGAGGAGCTACGGGATTATGGGATGAAGAGAAGGCTGGAAAGGTAAATGTGTGGTTGAGTGTGTGGTGGAGGGGCACCTGACAATGCTAAGCATAGGTGAAGGCTGTGTTTCTGAAGATCATTAGTGACCACATGCATGTGGTGGGCAGCCTGAAGGTAAAGAGACTATTACTACAGTCCAGGCCAGAGACAGAGAGGGCTGACTTAGGGCATTGGCAGTGGACATGGGAAAAAGCAGCTGTGGACAAATAGAGAGTTGCTGTTTGTTGTTGTTGTTAAGTACTTTGGAGTCGGTTCCGACTCATAGTGAGCCTGCACAGGGAATCTGAGGCTGTAAATCTTTACGGGAGCAGAACGCCTCATCTTTCTCCCATGGAACCACTGGTAGTTCCAAACTGCTGACCTTGAGGTTGGTAGCCCGACTCATAACCACTACGCTACCATATTAGAGCTCGGTAATTGGATGGTAGGGGCCAAAGCAGGAGAGTTAACGATGTTGACAATGTGCACACAAAGGACCATGCTAACAGCAAAACCACCAACAGACACACAGCCATTGAAGAGAGTACATGGGGAATAAGAGGCATGTGTGTACCCCTGGTAGTCTCACATATAATCTGGAACCAAGCACTTGGTTACTGCTAGAACAGATGGATAAGTTCCTTCTACACGTCTCCAGCTTAAACTATGGTCAGTTTATGGAGGAGCCATATGTTCAAGAGGGCTGTTTTCTTTGTGGGCTCCACATGTAGACACATGTAATCACTGGTAGGAGGCAGAGCTGGGAATTAGTGACTCGATTTGGGAGCCTGGGAAACTCTGGGACAAATTTCACATTTCAAGAGGACACTGATTCAAACTGAATCAGTTAGCTGGTTAACTAACCAAACTAAACTAAACTTGGTTTACCTAACTAACTAAAATTGGTTTAAACTAACCATTTTAACAATGGTTAAAACTTGGTTTAAACTAACTAAAATTGGTTAGCTGGGGGAAGCTCTTGAAATCTTCCAACTTACTAGAGGAAAAGTCAGAGAGAAATTCTCTTCCCTCTCACTGCCTTCCATTAGTGATTAATACTAAATATTCCTGTTGTTGTTGTTGTTATGTGCCGTGGAGTCAGTTCCGACTCACAGCGACCCTCTACAGGATTTCCGAGGCTGTAAATCTTTACAGGAGCAGAAAGCCTCATCTTTCTGGTAGTTTCAAACTGCTGACTGTGAGATTAGCAGCCTGATTCGTAACCACTACGCTACCAGAGCTCCTTAAACATCCCTAGGCACAAGACATTGGCAAGATGCCTACCTTATCACTGCTATCTACTGTTACCTACCATCTCAAAATGTCTAGTCTAACCATTAAGGTACAACACTGACATGGATCTTAAAACACATTTCTTTCCTCAGGTTTGCCTGGTTACAGCTTGCAGCTGAGAAGGTTACAAGTTAAGTCCATGAAAAGAAAGTAGACTTTGGACTCACAACACTTGGGCCTAAATTCCTGTCCTACAACAATGAACCACGGGACACTTGGATAAGTCACTTTAATCAGAGGCTCAGTGTCCTGCCAATAGTATAATACTATACTTCCAAAGATTACTGTGTCATTTAAATGAAATGAATTCTACCAAAAATATGAGGACAAATTAAAAAGCATTGCTACAAAAATCATAGAAACCTTTATTAACCTATCAAAATATGAGGGTACTGTTTCTCAACATATCCTCCCCATCTAGATCTATACACCTCTGAAGGGGGCGTTTCCATCTCTCTAACCATTCCCCAAAAAATCAGGCACTTGTCAATTTACACCATGTTAAAATAACAGTTTTGGCTTCCTCAAGGAACTCAAATCATGTTCCTTTTAAATGTTTTTTTGAGTTTTGTTGAACAAAAAGAAGTTTGAAGGGGCAAGATCAGGACTCTACGGTGGATGGGGTAAGGTTCCTCAAAGAAATCCTCATAGGACAGCCCCTGCTACTCTCAAAGAATGAGCAGGTGGTTATGGAAACATAAATTAGTGCAACTTTTCTGGCCATTTTCACATCAATGCAGTTTTCCATTTTCTTAAAATTTCTTAATATCCATGATAATCCTGTGCTCGTTGAGGAAATCTATCAGGATTACTCCTTCAAAATCCACCCCAGCCCCCCAAAACAGTTGCCATAACCTTCTGAGTAGGTCCTTCTGCCTTGAATTTAAACAGCCCAGCAGATCCTCTCGAAAACTACTGTATCTTTTTTGAAGGCATCCTAACAAGTGTACTACTGAGAGAACTTGTCTATAGCCATTTACCGATCATCAACACATTTTAACACCTTTTGTTTGAAATAAATCTGTGCATTAATGAGCTAGAACTCTAATAGCTGTACTTTTTGACTTACCCTTGTACCCAGCACCATGTCAGGCTTTTAATAGTAGTGGTATCTTTTCTTTTTGTACCCTTATTTATTGGGTAACTCTGGCAAAGTCCTTTCTGCTAAGTCTCAATTCTCTTGTTAAATGAGAGCATAAGGGCTGTATGGTCATGAAAACTTTACTGGCCCAACATTCTGTACCTCTTTACTAACAGACCCATTTGCTTCCTTTTTGTCTTTCCTAGTTCAAGAACTTGTAATAGCTGTTTAGGTCCAAGTACCTAAGGCCTAACCATTTTTCCTCAGGCGGGAAGGAGGCGAAGCAAAATCTATGTAAGTCTAATAACATATGCTTATTTTTGCAATAGTACCATTGTAGAAAAAGCCCAGGAATGAGGACAGGGTATCTGGATTCTGGCTCCAGCTCTGTTACTGATTTGCAGTACTGCACCTGGGAAAATGCCATCTGATTTCGAATCTGTGTAATCAAATTTAATTAGTACTAGATTAGCTGATTATCTGACGAAGGCAGTATCGGTACACAAGAAATCATATCCAAGTAAGGTGCTGTTACTGTTGGCATGTGCCACATCCCTCTGGTATTGCTTGGGTTGGGGAGAAGATCTCTGTGGTCCAATTTTCTCCAATACCAGCAGCTTCCACTCTGCAGATACTTAGGATTGGAAAGTACCTTGAAGGTCACCTATCTAAAACCTTTCCATTCTGCTCTTTTCACTCCCTCCCTCCATTACATATATGCATCATCTTCCTTTTGACTTTGAAACTTCCTTTATTCCTTCTCTTGCTTGAACTATTCAAATGCCTCATCTGTGATGGTATTTCTGACTACGCCAGGCTCTTTTGGCTCTCTCAATCCCCCTTTCCCTTCCCAATCTATATCATTTTTAGTCTAAAGTACACAAATCTGAGATTGACTATTTGGTTTAGTACTATCTCCTGAAGGCTTTGCCCTGGTTGGCTTTGTCTACAAAGACACCTTTTCCTCTCTTATAAAAACACTGTTGTTGTTAAGTGCCGTCAAGTCGTTTCCGACCCATAGTGACCCTGTGTAGGGTTCCATCAGAACTCTAACTCCATAGATACTTAGGGGTTAAAAGAGTCTTGGCACCCAGAGTCCCACTTCATTCATTCACCAAGAAATAAGTCAGTTCCCACCACGTGAAGCTCCACTGGCAATGAGACAGCAGAATACAGTCCATTAAAACAGCATTTACTGAGGTCTGTTTGGTGCCTGTGTGGTGTACTGGGGCACAGGTTAATGGAGAGCTCTTACCCTTGAAAATCTTACACTTTGATAAAGCAAAAGCAATACTAGGGAAAGTAGACACAACAACAAAAAATATCTCATTTGGGAAGTATTTGAGAGTCAATATGACAGGTCAGACAGGGACCAGAGAAGGAATATCACTTTAGGGATTGATGTAAGGAGTAATATGACCAATTTTGTTTTGGTCCATCCAAGGGAAGATGTCTAATAAGCAATTGATTATAAGAGGCTGAGGAGTCCTGGTGTGGCACTATGGGTTAATGTGCTGGACTGTAACATCGGTTTGAACCACAAGGTCGGCGGTTCAAGTTTACCAGCTGCTCCTAGGAAACCCTATACAGGGTCACTATGGGTTGGAATCGACTCAACGGCACTTAACAACAACGACAGCAACATAAGCTGAAGTTTGGAGGAAAGGCCTGAGCTAGATAAAGAAATTTGGGCCTTAGCACTTTATAGGAACCAGTAAAAAGCACAGGCCATTCAAGGAGGAAGAAGTAAACAGAATCAGTACAGCACACAGCAAGGCTGACAAGGACCCAGTGGATTCAATAATTAGGTGGTCAAAGAAGCACAATTTGGGGCGAATGCCAAATAAGCAGACTGAAAAGTAAAAGGACAGTGAGGGAAATTCAGACTTTTGAGATGTTTGGATGGAAGGGGAAGGATGACATGCTGGTAGTTACAGAGGAGCTCAAAGTCACAGGGGACTGTACTTTTATTGCTATTTTTGTTTGTTGTAAGATGAGAAAAACTCAGGCATGTTCAGGTTAAAAAGTAAGAGTCAGTAAAGCAAGGGAGGGGCTAGGTAGGGTGAGGCCCCAGGAATGTTCATAGAGGTGTCTCTAGAGCACAAGTAGAAGAACCAGTTTTGAGGCAGAGCAAGGTCGCCTCATCCTGAGACTGGTGAGAAGAGAAGATTGAGTGCAGCTGCAGATCAGTTTATGAGGACTGGACCTCAACTTTTAGAGGAGCTGCTGTATATCTTCATATGCTAGAGAAAGCTAGAGTGAAAAGGGAGAGGGGGAGGGGTTTGAGGTATGTGATAAGGGTTTAGAATAGTCAAGAAATATGAGTGAATGTTCAGAAAACAAGTAAAAGTTCAGACAAACAGAACAGAGGCCTGGTCGGAGCTTAAAAAGCATTACCTCCAAGGCTGGGAATCAGAGGAAACAGAGTAGGGAAGATCAATCCCAACTTGAGGGATCTCAGATACAGCCAAAGGATGGCCAGAGTAGAAGGTACTGATGTGATGCTGACGTGATAAACCAGGCAGGGTATCAAGGTAAAGTAAGGTCAAGGGAGGTAGTAAATGGAGGGATAAAGAAATAAATGCAGACAAAGAGCAGATGTCATAGAATGTAAGTTTAACAACTGGAAGACAAGACATAGTCACTGAGTGGCATATTGAGATATCAGATTTCAGAAATAGAATAACTATGGGCAATGGAAATGGGTTGCCAAGTACAATGAAGAATGAAGGTCACTAGGGTTTAGGAACTGTAGAGTGTCAGATGGATCATCCAAACGAGAAAGATTGTTTCCAAAAGTAGGAAGAGAATCAGGTGCTAAAGTCAAGAGTGTGAGGGAAGTACTCTTGAGTTTGGAGAGGAAAGGGAGACAACCACAAGAATTTATAGGAACCAACACAATTCTCTGGAACTTAGCTTTCCCATTTGTGCATGGGGTAGGGGATGGGCTAGATGTTCTTAGTTCAACCATTCTAGGGCTGTGGCCCTGAGGCTTGCTGATAACCTTTCAACCTCTTACCACATGGAATTCATGAGACTTACAGCTGAAGGAGTTTGGGGCTGGCCCAGCAAGGTGAGCCTAAGCAGGACTCAACCACCCGGGACCAGTTAAGGGAGGCAGAGCAGCTGAACAGTCTCCAAGTCTTTCTCACTTCCCAGTGGTTTGCAGAAAAGCGGCGGGCATTTCGTCCTGAAAGAGAAGAAAGTGTCTAAGGAGAAGAAACCAGTAAAGCCCCACCACCCAACCTTTTACCTTAAAAATCCATACCCCAGTTTCCCAATCCTATACCTCCCGTCTGCTCAAAGCATTCAGGGCCCTTTGCCCCAACCCAGCTTTGTTGACTGTGAGAAGAAAAAGTTGGAAGAATATTTGTTCATTGCAGCCACAGGACCTCTTGGGCAAATCTAAACCTTTAAAAAAGGAGGTGTCTGCCTGGTGCTTCTCTGGAGCTGAGAGCTGAGGACAGTGGCAGATGCACTTGCCTGGGATGCCCTAGGCCCCGGGCTAGGGCTAGCCTCTCTCACCAGTCTTGGTGTTGGCCACGATCAGTTCAGTGATCCAGTTGAGGATGTAGGTTGGCCGGATCCCGCTGTCTCCCAAGGCTGGCAGCTCAGAGAGCATCCTCTCCAGCAAGGCCTGCGTGAAGGTCTGGGAGTGCAGGCCCCTAAGCAGGGGCTGCCAGAATTGAGAGAATGGCTTTGGCACCAGGATGTCATTCAAGTCCACGTTTTCTGGTTTGAGGGGCACCATTGACAGGGGAGTGAGAGCCAATGGAAAGGAAAGCAAGAGAGAAAGAGCAAGCCCCACCAACAACAACAACAGAGTTGCCACCACAGAACAGGGGGATAGAAAGCAAAACAGTAGGGGAGAAAGAAACCAGTTAGTATCTGGCACTCAAAAACTGACCTAAAACCAAGTATAGAAGAAAAAGAGCTCTGGTTCTAGCTTCAGCTTTGCCAATAACTCACTGTGTGACTTTGGGTCAGTACCTTCCCCTTTCTGGACCTCAGTCTGCCCATCTGTAACATGAGGATGTAGGACTAGATGACCTCATAAGGCCTTTCTCGTTCTGCTATTCTAGCTTTCTAGCTAGTGGCTAAATCACAATCAACATAGCACAATAATGGCATTAATATTCCCAGCATTCCACCCTATCCCACCACATTCCAGGTCAAGTAAGGATAGCCCCACAAACATAACTGTTTATCAGTGGGGCAACCAGTTCTATTCAGTGAGGACTGAAGGGCTTCCTGAGGCCACAGAGTGGCAGAGAACAGCCCTTGCTCCCCAGCCCATACCTGGTGTTCCCACCCAGGAAACATAGTATCCTAAAGCCACAGTGAGCCCCCAGAGACCCTACCTTCATAGTCTATCTGCAAGGCTGCCAACTGCTCAAATGTGGGGATAAGGAAGCCGTCATCCAGAAAAGCATCCAGCACAGCATCACTGGAGCAAGAGGATACTAGTTTAGTATGGCGAAGTAGGAAAAAGACCCTTTCCTACTCCTCAGCCACCCACAATGGTAGCCAATGCCTCTGGCAGGAAGTGACTAAAGTTGCTAGATCTCAGACCTCCATCTCCTGGGGCAAGGCTGGACTGGAGGCTGGAATCAGAAGGGTTTAAATGTTTACTAAGCACATTCTGATCTAATGCCCATAATGAGGGCGGCAGTGGCTGAACAAGCCACAAAACACAAATGGAGAAAATCCCCATTTAGCTCAAGCTTAAACAAGTTTAAGCAAGCTAGCTCTTCTAGAACTAAGGATCCTAAAAAGAGGCTCCCCCAGCCAATCAGACCTAGAAAGGAAACAAGAGCTCCCAACGTTACCAATGGCTGAGAGTTGGCATGCTTAGGTCCCTCTTAGCACAGACCAGGTTTGAGGGGAAAATAGCTGTCTTTCTTCTCTTTCTCTATCCCTGCTTAGTACTACCATGGAGATGCTACTGTACAGAGGCACAAGTAGAGTTTTTTTCAGCTGCTAAGGGAGTCACCACCCACTCCCATGTTCAAGGGTGGAGCAAAGAAACCTAGGCTGGGCAGACACTGATAAAACACCTTTGCAAACAGTAGCAACCTTGGAATGAAGATTCCAGAGGGGTGATCCCAGTCTACACTGAAGGCCTACTCAGCCACTTACCCTACCCATCTACACTCTGCTCTATCTCTGATTCCTTCCAACCTCTCCCAAACTGGGAAGGTCTAGCAATGCCCCCACACATTTTGAGTAGAAGGTTCTCAAAGCCCTTTCCAGCTAAATGTAGGGAGAAAGACCCCAAGAACTAGGGAGGAGAGAGGAATGGACAAGGATATTCTCTCTGCTCTAGATGAATCTGAGCACTATTGTTTTAAAAGTCGAAGGCTCATAGCCATACTGAGGGAGAAAGGAACTTAATCTTTTGAGGAAACCAGGCCAAGGCATGGTGTCCCCTCTGTACCCTCAACACAAATCATTCAGAATAGGCTGACACTCTCTAGTAACAGTTCAAAAGAAAAGCAGTGCCCACTATTTACTTTTCCCCAAAACATGGACAATGGCAAGCAGAGAGGTAGGAAGGATTACGGGCTTTTCCTACTTGCCAAGAACTTCACATACCCACCTGACAGAGAGCAACAAAGCTGGCCAAGAGATAGACAAACAGTGGACCTACTTGCCTCTGGCCATTCCAGTGACTCAAATAGACAACCCTTATCTGGTAGCTGGTAGGGCTAGGGATAGAGGTCATAAAGAACACAGGGTCACCCTGCGGGGAATCAGTATTACCTTTGGGATTTCCTATAGCAAAGGTTGGCAAGCTTGGATATAGTAACTAATTTCAATAAGGCTGCTACTGATTTCAACAAAGCAGCCCCTGATTACCTAGTTAGGAATAGGCTGTGAGAATATCTTACCTGTTCTCCCGTGTAATGCTCTTGATCTCTGCCAGGATGCTTTCTATAGGTGGGGACAGGTTATTCCACACCTTAATGGCCTGAGGTAAATACCTAAATTCCTCTAGCACCTGTTAACCAAGATGATCCCATCAGAAGTGATGTGGCCAGGCAGACCACCCCAGCCTTTTCAGGATCCTTTCTCCTGGATTGGTACTTGTATTCAGGGTATGGGGCAAGGCATACAGGGGTGCCCCCAGAACTGCCTATTTAAAATAACCTGAACTTCAAATGCTACACTTTCAACTACTCCTGAATTCCCTGAAGCTCTCAATTACAAGATACCTCAACATTGAGACTTCCAATGGGGAACACTTGGAGATGAGCAGAGACCCTTGGGGCAGAGTAAAGGGAGGCAGTAGGGAATGGAAGAAATGGAGTCAAAGGACTTAGGTTCTAATCCTGGTTCTATCGCTAGTAGCACATGTCACTTATCCATCTGTAAAAAGAAAGGGTAAAGCAGGATGGTGTTGAAGCTACCTCCCTTTCTGCTATAACAGCTCTCCTGAAGCTTACCAGATCTAGGAAAGTTCTACAGCCCCAATCTGCTAGTCATCTGAAGTATTGCAGGACTGGATGGGATAATCACCTATGCTCTTTTGTTCCGCACCACCCAATAGGACATATTATCCACAAATTTCTGTTATCTGCTCCCTTCCATTGTTGTAGAGTACTAGCCATTGGACTTTGCTCCTTTTGTCTCCTTCTTAGTTCCCTGCTCTCTCATTATGAGCAGTTCCCACAAGTTTTTCCCATTTTTGTTTTCAAATTTCTTCTCAGGACTTGTCTCCTAGGGAGCTGGCAAAGAGGGAAGAAATGGGGAACACACCAGGTTAGGGGCACTTACTTACCTTAAATTGTTCCTCTTCATAAGATACCAGCAGTTCTCGGACTCTTTCTGAAAACAGAAAGGAGAGATGGATTGGGCAGCCAGCCCAGTTCTCTGCTCCAGATGGATTTTGAAATCTTAATACCTCATTTCTTGATTTGTAAACTGGAAACTAGAATTCCTGTTCCCTCCTCCTTCACAGGACTCAAGGAAGTTCATTTGCAATAGTAATTTTTAAAGCTAGAACTCACCACAGGCCCACAGGAAATAAGTCTAAGAAATAACCAGAGCTAAACCAAAGCTTGAGCATTCCAAGCTGTCCAAGGACACCTACCATATAGCTCTTTACGCCTAAGAGCATTTTCCAAATGTGAATCCACCTCTCTGCTGTCTCCTTCTCCATCAGCCTTGACATCCTGCTCTGTACCTTTTTCATCTTCCTTAGGCTCTGGTTTCTGTTCTGTGCTGTCATCAACAACAATGTTTTTATCTTCCTGTTGGTCCTCTTCATCTGTCTCTTCCTTGTCCTCCTCTAACTCCCAGGACTCTCTCAGACTGTTCTCCAATTGGCGGCACCAATAGGTCTTCTGTAGCCAATCAAGGACAAAGGAGCAGCCTGATGGAGGAAAGAAAGGCAATGCCTTAAGACCAAGCAAACAAGCAGCTCCTAGCAGGCCCACAGCTCTCTTGTTCACAATCCGCAAATTGTGAGCATTAATGGAACGTCCCAGGGAAGAGGCTTAGCAATAAGCAGGCTCAAATCTCAAATATCCTGAAAGAACCTGTCAACTGCTTTCTCCTCTTGTTCACCAGCACCTTTTCCAGAAAGAACTAGTTGGAGATTGTTGTTATATGCCGTTGAATCCGTTAGAACTCATAGCAACCCTGTATAGGGTTTCTGAGGAGCAGTTGATAGATTTCAACCACAGACATTGTGGTTCACAATGATGATGAGCAGGCAGTGGGATAACTGGGATCCAGAGCAACTAGCTAGTTATATGGCCCTGGTTAGGTCTCTTCCCTTTTCTAGATCTCAGTTTCTCCATCACAAAGAAGCTAAATTAAATGAAAGGTTCTTGATTAGTATGGGGTTGTGTTAAAAAAATCTCTGGGTCTCAAGAAGCTTGTAAACCTTATATGTGTGTAATTTATTTATTTATTTTTATAAGGGGACATGGAGAATCTAATCCAGCAGCTCTTCATTCAGACAACAAATCTTTACTGAGAATCTAATTTGTGTCAGGCATTATATCAAACACTGAATCAAAACAAAGTCCTTTTCATCATAAAGATTACATTCTAATGGAGGAGAAAGATTAAGAATAAAAGTGTTACAGAGCAAAAAAGAAAGAAGCAACAAAGTAAGGTGATGCATAACCCTATTAAAGCTACCAATCTCAAGCCTGTTGCCATCGAGTCAATTCTGACTCATGGTGAACCTATGCATTAACAAAGTACAACTTTTCCATAGGGTTTTCTTGGCTATAATATCTATGGGAGCATATCACCAAGTCATCCTTTAGGTTAGTGTTGTTGCTGTTAAGTGCCGTCGAGTTGGTTACAACCCACAGCGACCCTGTATAGGTTTCCTAGGAGTGGCTGGTGAGCTTGAACCGCCGGTGTTGTAATTCATTAACCCACAGTGCCACACCGGGATCTATTGTGTCGCTCAAAAATCCTAAACCAAACTCACTACCTTAGAGTCAATTACAACTTATAGAAACCCTATAAGACAACTGTTCCATAGGGTTTTTTTTTTGTTGTTGTTTTTTTAAAGCTTTTATTGTGAATTGAGTGTGTAAAGGTTGACAGGGCATCTCATCAGTTTTACATTTAGCAAATCACTGCAATAATTACAATCCCCTCTATGTACCATCAGCTAACAGTGTTTACCTCTATTACCCTTTTATTTTTGATGTACACATACCACATTGAAATATATATCTGTTTAAATGTCCAACGGGTACAGTTTGCAAGCTAGCCTCCTGCCAGCAGGCACACTGCCTTTCTCAGTCCATGGCCCTGTTGCTTTTGAGGCTATAAATCTTTATGGAAGCAGACTACCTCATCTTTTTCCTGCAGAGCTACTGGTGGGTTTAGCAGCCTAATGCTTAACCCATTGCACCAAAAGCGCTCCTTGTGCCATCCAGGGAACTTAAAGTTTATTAATGACTTTATTACAACAATGTGGATTACAACAGAGCCATTAAATTACCTTCAATTGCCCAAATTAATGAACTCTCCTCAATCTTTATCGTTTTTGCCATCTCTGTATCATAAGGCACTGCTGATGGCTCACACTTCTCAAACCTCTCCTCCTTGGTCCCCAAAACACCACCATTCTTCTGCCTGTATTTTCACCCCTCTGCCTATCTTTAAATTCTGGGATTTCCCAAGGGCTTTTTCTCAATGTTCTGCTTCCCCATTCTATACATATACACCAGGAAATTTTCATCTTTACTCTGAAATTTTACCACTTGGCACCTCTATCCTAGAGCTTTCTGCTAAGCTCACACTATATATTGCCTACTAGAGCCCTTCCAAACTTCCCAGTACACTATAATTCATTAACAACTGTACTTTAAAATTAAACACAAATCCAGCCTGTGCTTTGGATACGAAAAAAAAAAAATTGTGGTTCTACCCTGGGCACATGTTCTGGAAGGTGTATGCTAGGAAATGTGAATCTGTTCTCTCCATGAACTCTAGGAAATTCTCAGCTTCCAAGCAGTCTCAATCCACTAGTACTAAGAGTAACCTATTCACTAACTACATGCTAACCAAATACAATCCTGACCTAACATGCTTATTTTAGGACTTAACCACTTCTCCATGAAGATGCCACCCATGTACATCCCATATAAGCCCATCTGACCTCAGACTGCTACTTCAATTTTATCCTTAGCTACTGCCTCCCATACCCCTGATATTCATGCCCTGGCAATATGCTTCCACTTCCTTGAGCCTGTTACACTGTTTTACAAGTACCATTCATTCCATTTCCACCCACATTTGTGCACCTTTTAATTCCAATGCCTGAAGTCCTGGTGTGGCGTTGTAGGATAAGTAGTGGACTGCTAACCACAAGGTTGATGGTTAAAACCTACCAGTAGCTCCTTGGAAACCCTATACAGGGTCACGATGAGTCAGAACTGACTCAATGGCACTTAACAACAATGGTTTCTCTGCCTAGAATGCCTTCTTGCCCTACTCAAGGAGCTAGTGAATTCCTATTCCTTAACATTCAGCACAAGCACTATGAAGTCTATGAAACCTCCTCTGGCTCCCTTTACTCTACCAAAGTTTCTAAGACATATCCCATTACTGTTCTCACCATACCACATAACAATTTCTAACTTTCCCTTCTTAAAGTTCTATGAGTTCTTTAATATCAGACAATGTCGTCTACATCTAAATAACCAGCACCTAACACATAGCCTCTAATGCACTGGTCAGCGATTCAAAACCACAAGTTGCTCCTTGGAAATCCTATATAGGGTTGCTGTGGGTTGGAACCAACTCGACGGCACTTAACAACAACAAAAATAACAACACACAGCCTCGGTAATTGTTTGCTAACTGAAGTAACAGGTATTTTTCTTGCTAATACTTTTTGTCCCCCACTCCAGATCAAACAATTCTCAGGTTTTCTTACTTTGCCTAACTGGAGTCCTGGTGTGGCGCTGTAAGATAAGCACTGGACTGCAAGGTCAGTTTGAACTGCAAGGTTGGTACTTAATAAGAACAATTGAAAAGTAACAGGAAGATGGAGGTAGGAGGAGTGTGTTCATACCAGTCAGATCACCTGGGTAAACATTTCCTTATGTCCTAGCAAGGAAGGAAAACCAGGCAGGAGGTTCTATATAAACCTGTCTTTAAATCCTCTCCTCTGGCAGTACTGTATGTGATACTCCACCCCGAGAGGAATTCCAACATGAACTGGAGAAAGAATCCCTCTTAAAAGCAGGAATGTAAACTAGAAGTGTAATGACCAAATGAGGTCTCTAGATGTTCTTTCTCTGTTCCTCAGGTTTGTTGCTGTTAAGTGTCTTTGAGTCGGTTCCAACTCATAGCCACCCTGTATAGGTTTTCCAAGGAGCGTCTGGTGGGTTTGAACTTCATGGTTAGCAGTCCAGTAGTTATTCTGTTGTTGTTATTGTTAAGTACTATTGAGTCGGCTCCGACTCATAGCGACCGTGTGTATGGTTTCCGAGGAGCAGCTGCTGAGTTTGAACCGCCAACCTTGATGTTTAAACTGACCTTACAGTCCAGCGCATTATCCCACAGTGCCACACCAGGGCTCCTCCCTGGTATTTGAAAAAAAAAAAAAAAAAGGACATAGAAGCTAACATTTAAAATTCATGATATTTTATATAAAAATCCAAATTTTCAGTTTCTTTTGAATGTTTGTACAATCATGCAGCAAGTGTCCCATGCATGTCCACATTTAGTGGAATGGAATTGTATCAGCTTCCTTTAACAGGCATAAAAAAAAGTTTACCCATCATCCTTGTTATCTATTACACACTGGAGTAGAGTACCAGGGGTCATTTACCAATGAGCACACATTGTTGAATTTTATTATGGTGGGAAGTTAAGTAGATTTTCATACTCAAGTCTGTATCAAAAGCAGAAAAATAAAAATTATACTAAGAAAGCCATTACTTCAAGAATAATTTTTCTTATCCTCTGCCTACTCTATGTTGCCATCTGAGACGGTTATCCCAGGCAGGGTAATGACTAGAGTGAGGTTATTGTTGTTTAAGTGCCTTCCAGTCATTTTTGACTCTTAGCAACCCTGTACAAGGTTTCCAGGAAGTAACTGGTGGGTTTGAACTGCTGACCTTGTGGTTAGCAGTCCAATGTATTGTTGTTGTTGTTAATTGCCATCAAGTCAGTTCCGACCCATAGCAACCCTGTATAGGGTTTCCAAGGAGTAGCTGGTGTGCTTGAACCACCGACCTTGCAGTTCAAATGGCTTTCCAGTCTGGCGCATTAATCCACAGCGCCACACCAGGATTCCCAGTGTATAGGCGAGAATAAATGAGGGTAAGCGACTCAGGTATAAAATTTAAAAACCAAAAGCCACTGTCATCGAGTTGATTCTGACTCATAGAGACTCTATATAGGGTTTCTGAGGCTATAAATCTTTGTGGGGGCAGAAAGTTTCCTCTTTCTCTGCAGAGTGGCTGGTGGGTTAGAATTGCTGACCTTGCAGTTAGCAGCCAACAATGCCACCAGGGGCCTCCAAACTCAACAATCAAGATATCAACACAGGATCAGAGCAATTCCTAACCAAGTCACATGAGAAGTGGAGGGAAAAGGAGAAATCAATAATATTAACCCTGTTTTTATTCAAAAGTATTATGTCTTCTGCATTAAATTTGCTTTTTTAAAATATTATTTATCTTGATTAGTGAGTTTTTGGTGCCCCTTTAAATGTTGCACCCCAGGCAAGTGCCTCATCCTACTTCTGGCCCTAATCCTGGTGGAGACCCTTCTAGTCCCAGTGCCACCTAACCTGGACCCTGGGCATAACTGTGATAGGTATACCCTGCTACCCTAAGGACTTACCTCGGCGACAGTCATTTATATGGGGCATTTTCTTGTGTGTCAACTCATGACGAAGTTCAACAATCCAATCCGGAATGTTCACCTGATTTGGGGGGAAGTGTGCGCATGGAAATTAGAAAATATTAAAGCTGGAAGAGACCACAAAGATGAATTCGCCTGATTTCTTCCTGGTAGAGTCAAGATTAGAATCCAAATTCTGATTCTTTTTATAGCTCTATGGAAGTAGTCTTGAAAATCAGGAAAAGCACCTCCTTCCCTCAACAACCAACCACCCTCCTCCAACAAAGAGATCTCCATGAATGAGCATTAACAATCACTTCCAGCCTCCCTCTGCCCTGTCTGTATCAGTCCCCTCTCCCTTGGTACCCTTTACCTCTTCTGCCCATGTGTCCTCCAGGTAGCTTCTCATGACGACTGAAAACATGCTTGCCCCCTGGGCTGCCATACACCTCCCATACTCACTCAGGATAAGAATGTCTGGCATTTTCGTGCTGCTTGGCTGAGCTATCTCCTCCTTCAGACTGTCAGTTCTCTAAGGACAAGTGCTGTAGACTGCCACCTCCTTCCTGTCCCCACCCAGTGGTGCATCCAGGCTCCTTAGCTTCATTGGGCCACTCCAAGCAAGCTGGGCAGGCTAAGCCCACTGTGATACCAGTCATGGGCAAGGGAGCAATTCTGCTTCCTTTTAGCTGGAAGCGGAGGCTCTTGGGTTCTTGTTGGGCTTGATTGGCAATGATAGATGAGCTACTATGATTATATGCCCACTTCACCCCATGCTCCCACTTAGTGAGTCCTCCTGGAGAGAGATAATTGAGCAAGGCCACTTTATCATACGCACCTCCTGAGCCAGGAACTTGAGGGGGAGCTTGACAAACTTTGTCTTCCTCTCTGAGATAAGATTCACAAACCTGAGGTTGGGGAAGAAATAAGTGGCACAGCCCAAAGTAACTGTTTTACTCAAATTAACGGGGCTTCAAAACACCTTGCTGACACCTGGTATTTTCCAAAACCTTTCCACTGACTGCCTGTCCTTACTTAGAGTTGGTGTCAGGCAGAGCAGTGACATTTCCATCCAATCCAACATTTACTTAAAGTTTGCCCCTTACTGGAGCCATACAGATGAATATGACACTGTTCTGGCACTGAAGAGTTCAGTCTAGTATAAATAATGATGACATAATTACCATATTATGTTAGGACATAATATGTTATAAGTGTTAATACAACAGAGTGCATCAGATGATATGGGGATCATACTTTGAAGATGGATAAGGTAAGAAGAGCCATGGAGGATCTCAAAGCAGACAAGGGGAACATGATGAGATGAGCAAAGGCTTTTGAGAACACTGTGTTAGCCATTTTCCCTGATGTGTAGGAGACAGCTAGAAACGATCTGAGACACTTTACAAGTCAGGAACTCCAGTCCATGTCTCCATTTCCAAAACCTTTCAGTGTTCATGAGGTAAAAAAGGGGACAAATGGTGCTAAATGTAGATAGGAGTAGGGTTGAGCATTCTACATTAAATCATGGCCAAAGGACATCGGACCATTCAAAAAAGTTCTTCTGGATGGAAACAGGTAGAGCAGAAGAAAAAAGTGACTGTAAAAGCTGGAAGACATCCAAAGAAAATACCTTGTCTGAATCATCTCCATTCACATCCCACAAGAAAGAGAGAAAGAAAAATGAAAGATATAAGGTTCTCAGGGAAAGGAATTAAAACAGGAATGCATGTTAACAGGAGGGGGGGATACCAAAAGTCAGGCAGGCATTCACAGATTGACCCAAACACAGGACACACTGGGTTTTTGTTGTTGTTGTTGTTGTTGTTGTTGTTGTTGACTGGGAGGTAGCACCCAAGGCCAAGCTTTGTCACATGCTTTTCTCCCCCTCCCCCATGCCACCCTCCACTCCCCATCCCATGCAGGTCTTACCTGACCAGTGCCATGCCATAGAGCAGACTAAGTTCATCAATGCCCAAACCACCAGTCACATCCATGAGCTTACAGCGTACCAGGTCAGCGGTAGAAGCCACTGCCAGGGGAAGGTCGTTGCCTAACCTAAAAGGCCACAGTTCAGCACCATCATAGGGGCCCTTACACTGGTCCACCCTCCACCTCAGAACTTAAGCTGCTGTAGGCTTGTTAAGTGCCCTTCAGTCAGTTCCCACTCAAGAGACCCCGTATAGGGTTTCCAAGGCTGTAAATCTTTTCAGGAGCAAAAAGTCTCATCTTTCTCCCATGGAGTGGCTGGTGGGCTCAAACCACCAACCTTGTGGTCCACAGTCTGGTGCTTATCATACAGAGCCACCCCACTCCCTGTTGTACGTTAATCCCTTTATATACTGGCCATGTTGTTGTTAAGTGCTGTAAAGTTGGTTCTGACTCATGTTGTTTTTATGTGCCGTGGAGTCGGTTCCGACTCATAGCGACCATATACAGGGTTTCCGAGGCTGTAAATCTTTACGGGAGCAGAAAGCCTCATCTTTCTCCCGCGGAACAGCTGGTAGTTTCGAACTGCTGACCTTCTGGTTCACAGCCCGATTCGTAATCACTACGCGACCAGAGCTCCTTTTCCGACTCATAGCGACCCTGAAAGGGTTTCCGAGGAGCAGCTGGTGGGTTTGAACCGCCGACCTTTCGGTTAGCAGTCTAGTGCTTACCCTACAGAGCCACACTAGTACCATAATAGACACAAAACAGAGTGGAGGGAGGGTAATGTATTCCGGGCATGAGGGATTAGCAGGGTATACACAGGGCACCGGTTAAGTAATCAACTAACAAATATGGACACACGCCTTTCACATTTAACACTAAAAAATTAAACCAGAGAAAATTCTTACCCCTTGTCAGTCTGCTCCCAACTCAATTTTACCAAGTGGACTAGGGCTCCCCACTCAAACATGGTTTTTAGCAGGCAAGACCTCCGGACCTCCCGCACCGTCTTGCCCCCCTCCTCCCTACTGCCCTCGCCGCCCCTGTCGCCCATTCCAATCGGAACTCCACATCAGGTTAACTTATTCCTTAAACCCTGGCCCGGGACTCTTCTCCAAATTGGAGTAAGGTCACTCTTCGTAGATAGGAGTAAAAACTCGCAAGAAGACAAGTGTTGTTGAGGCACACACCCTTTCTTTCCATAAATGGGATTGCAAGATCTTGGCTGCGACTTTCCCCCAGGAACTTACTTGGAAGAGGGACAAGGCCCAAACCACTCACATTGGCACCATTCGGCAATTTAGGGGAAGACTCGAGGATAGTGCCTTTCAAATGAGGAGGCGAGGCACCTCCAGCACTCAGGCAGGAGGGCTGAGTCCGCCAGCTTACCTACTTCTCCATACGGTGATACGGTTCAGAGCATACCGCTGCAAGGTATGGTCCTCACAGAACAGATAAACCATCACCTGGTCCCACTCCGCCTTGTTGAACCAGGCGACCACTATGCGCTGGGCCCAGAGGGACGACTTTTTTCCTTTGGCACGCTTGCCGCACCATGCATTCCACACACGATCCATCCCCCGGGACTTAGACCTGATCTGGTCCTAGGCCCTCCACACAGCGAGTGGGAGTGATGCCAGGCCCAGTGGCGCGGCGCTGTGACCTGCCTTCAGTTCAACGTGCTAGACTCACTCCAAACCGCCGCCGCGCCAGCAGCCAATGGTAGAATGTGATGTGGACGCAAGCCCGCCTCCCATCGTTAGCGTAACCAATCGGAACGCAAAAGCTTGCAGTCAAAACTACAGGTGGGTTACGTCCTCACAGGACCGGAAATGTTCTTTTAGCAAAGCAACCGTACCAGCTGCTCGGGCGCAGCTTCTAGGTTCCGCCAATTTACTGCCCGTTTCTTAAGGAGCCCTGGTGGTGCCATTGTTAAAGCGCTTTGAAGCGAACCAAAAGGTCTGCGATTCCAATCCACCAGCCTAGGTGCTTCCGTAAAGGTTTACAACCTTGGGAGCCATGGAAACCCTATGGGGCAGCCCTACATTTTCCATTAGGGTCGCTACTAGGAGAACGAATGGATTCCACTGCAGTCTCCCACCCCCATCCCGCCCCCCATCATTTTCCTGCCTTCTCAGATATGAGAGTGTGGGCTACAGGAGGAATTTCAGTTTTCGCCCCGTGCCCAGCGAGGCAGGACCATGGTTTTCCACTTTATTGTAAATGCGATGATAAGTGTAATGTTTTGATTATCAAGAATCAGGACACTGACAGAGCTACAGAGCAAATATCTCAACTCGGGCTGGAAAATCTGCTTTAGTTGTAGGTACCCAGGGGCCCTGCCTTCCAAACTAGTACCAGCCTGTTGTGTTATTGCACAGTGATATGAACTCTGAATGCTTGGGATGAAAGTCATGTTGGAGTAGACTTGGTCTCTAGTCTTAGCTCCACCACTAGTTGAGTAGTTCTGGACAAATCTCTGCTCCTCCCTGGGTCTCAAGTTTATCATCTGTACATTGAGAGACTTAGACTAAATGGTCACTAAATTCTCTGTACTATTTGAAATTTGTGGGATTTTACTCTGCTAACATCCCACTGCTATTTTGGTTTTAACATCCACAGAGAATGTTTTTCTAAACAATTCCTTGGATCTTGGAGTTCTAAAATGTGTTTGTTGTTTTTGTTCAGTGTTGTGGTGTCAGTTCCAACTCAGAGTGACCTTGTAAGGGTTTCCTAGGAACAGCTGGTGGATTTGAATTGCCAATCTTGTGCTGATTCTTCAGCGCTGATACTACAGTGTCACACAGGAGTCTAAAATATGTTTAGGACTATTGTATTCCTTCTTATAGAAGTTATTTTCCAATCTAACACTTAAAAGAGTTGCTAGCAATCTTAACATCATTGCTGTGATTGGCAAGTTTTCCATTTTGCAGCAGAAAATTATCTGCCTCTCCTAAGACACCGTTTGCCCATGATTCTTTTTCCTCTGTTTTTTTTTTTTTTTTTTTTTTTTTTTAACTGTGGTGAAAAAATACATATACATACCAAAACATTCACCAATACAACTGTCAGATTTATAATTCAGTGACATAGATTACATTTTTCATGTTGTGCCACTATTATTGCTATCCTTCTCCACTACATCCCACATCTTTAATATAAACTCAATGCCCCCCAAAGGAAAATTCCCTTTTTCCTCTCTCTTACCCCTGGTAACCATTAATATAACAATCTTTGGTTTCTATATATTTGCATATTTCATGTAAGTGGGATGATGCAGTGTTTGTCTTTTTGTGACTGCCTTATTTCAATCTACATGATACTTTGATATTTCCAAGGTTCATCCATGTTTTGGCATGCTTCAGAATTTCATTTCTCTTTGTGGCTCAATACTTTATTCTGAGTATATATACCATTTTGTTTATCCCTTCATCTACTGATGGACATTTCTTTTGTTTCTACCTTTTGGCTATTGTAGAAAATTCTGCAATGAACATTTGTGTACAAGTTCTGTTTACTTTCCTGCCTTTGCTTCTTCTGGGTATATATATATAGGATTGGGATTGTTAGACTATATGGTAGTTCTATGTTCAACTTTTACAGGAACCACCAAACTGTTTTCCACAGTGTATACACCATTTTACATTCCCATCAGCAATGAATGAGGGTTCCAGTTTCTACATAACCTCACCAGCATCTGTTGTTTTCTGTAGTTTGGATCCTTGCCATTTTAGTGAGGGTGAGATGTTATACCATTTTGGTTTTGATTTGTATCTTTAATGACTAAAACACCGGAAATCTTTTCATATGCTTACTGGCCATTTGAATATCCTCTTGGTGAACTGTTTGTTCAAGTTCTTTACTCATTTTATATATATAAGGAGCTTTGGTAATGTAGTGGTTACGAATCGGGCTGTGAACCACAAGGTCAGCAGTTCGAAACTACCAGCTGTTCTGCCGGAGAAAGATGAAGCTTTCTGCTCCCATAAAGATTTATAGCCTCGGAAACCCTCTACTGGGTCGCTATGAGTCGGAACCGACTCCACGAGGCACATAATCACCACCATACATATACACAAGGTTAATTGTAATCACGCATTTTCCCGCAGTAGAATACTGGCTGTATATCTGTGTAGATGAAAATTGTATTTGCCAAGAACTGTGAATATTAAGAATCTTTACATGAAGTCACACATATTCCAGCACCAATAGAATATATAATACATATTAATTGGTCTTGATGAATAAATTTGCTTCAGGATCATTTGGTTTAGTAAAACTGTTAATGTATAACTGCGTTTTATTAACTTAGATTTTTATTATGCATCTTTTTCTAAGACTGTAATTATTTTTAAAACCTCATTCATTCAAGATTTGCATGCTAATACACAGTGGCTTTATAGGCCTCAAGTTTCTTAATTTAAAATACCACCATTCTTGTTTTCAGTTTGTAGCACCTGACTTAAGACTTTATTATAAAACAAAGTTTAAATTCATTGGATAAATTATTTAGAATTCACATTGTTTCCTTTAAGAGGAAACATGTTACAATGACCAGATTAGTGTAAATTATTTGTAACTAGCTAGCAGAATGTTATTAATGTAATTTGTAGCCACAACAAGAACTTCTAAACAATAACAAAAACAATGTAGTGATAAGTGTCATTAATGTCGTTGAATCGTGCATGTAAAAAATGCTGAAATGGCAGGTGTTTTCTTATATCTTTACCACAATTAAAAAAAATGTATAAAATTGATTTGGAGTCTGCCCCCCACCTAATATTACCAAAGATGTTTCCAAGTACTCTTGGACAATATAAGTGTAAAATATATGCAGAACGGTAGCTGTAGGGACCAGGCATCCGCAGAGTTATAGGGGATGAGGGCAGCAAGCTCAGCCCTAGGCTGGGCAGGCATTGGCGTTGGCTTCTGGGACGCGGGATGGAGCGGCGTGACTGCTTTAAAGAAGTCGTTTATGTACGTCTGGATGAACTTCTCCGTGTTTTAAAGTCTGTAATGAATAAACATCAGAACCCCAATTCTGTTGATCTTCAAAATGCTGCAGAAATGCTTATTTCAAAAGTGAAAGTTGTGAACTTCACAGAAGTTAATGAAGAAAACAAAAACGATCTCTTCCTAGAAGTGTTTTCTTTCATTGTTACCTTCGGGAATATCCTTACATACTTCCTTATGTAGGCAGTTATTCGTTATTGTAACTGCCTGTGTCTCGGGAAAGTAAGTCTTTTAAAAACATTTCTGTTGCATCAGTGGACTCATCCCATGAAAAAGGAAATGTATCTCCTACGTTGTTGTTGGTAAGTATCGTGGAATCGGTTCTGACTCATAGTGACCCAGCATAGGGTTTCTGAGGCTGTAAATCTTTACGGGAGCAGAACGCCTCATCTTTCTTTCGCGGAACCGCTGGTAGTTTCTAACTGCTGACCTTGAGGTTGGCAGCCCGACTCAGAACCACTATGCTACCATAGCTAGCTAAAGTGCCGTTAAAGAACACTGACTCTGTAGAATTGGCTTTGTCATATGCTAAACTTGGTCAAAATATACCAAGAACATAGTTCCATGGTTGAGAAAAGCTTAATTTGGAATTGAAGTGTACTAGAATAATGCAACCTTGCTTGCTGAAAGTGAAGAGGACTTGAAACATTTACTTATGAAGATCAAAGAGCACAGCCTTCAATATGGATTACATCTCAATGTCAAGAAAACAAAAATCCTCACAACTGGACCAATAAACAACATTCTTATCAATGGAGAAAAGATTGAAATTGTCAAG